TGAGAGCCTGCTTGTATTTAGGACCGGGTGCGGTCAGGGAGGCCGTGGTGGGCCTCGCGACGACAGTGACTAGTGGCACAGTTAGCATGGCGTTACGCAGGAGAAGAGGTAGCTGCCTTCCGAGCGGAGGACTCGAGCGATCCGTTGACCCTATTTCACGAACGTCCTCCTCTTGATATCACGGGCGAGCTGGTGGTAGCACGCGACGGGTTTTTCCCGTACAGCGTTAGGTGCCTGCGGGCGATAGTTCCGACGTTCGTAGTAGAGAGCGTCTTTGGAGGTATTGGTGGAGTGGTTGAGACATACTTGGCCTATCAGGATCTCAAGATCCTGGCGAGAAGGCCTGCCGACCTAGAGTACATCTATTATTCGCTTGCGACCAGTGGGCCTCGTTGGGGAGACGAGAGGGTTCAGCTTATAGAGCTGATCCGCTCGATAGACGACGAGTGGCCCCAGTCTCCGTGCGTTTGGGATTGGCTAGACCGTGAGCTCCGAGTAGGCCCCGAGTACGTGACCTGCATCGGACAACTCTTCTCAGACGACTGGGGGAGTTGGTGGAGTGAGGACGCCGGACGACCTCTGATATACGGCCATCAGTTGACGAAATACTACCAGGCCATAGGACAGGCGCCATACCGCGTCGAGGACGAGTTTGACGACGAGGGTTGGGAGCGAGAGGACGACGAGGAGTTGTGGGAGCCAGACTGGGTCGACCCAGAGAGTGAGGTTGACGAGGAGGAGATTGACGTTATAGACGCCCATTTTCCCAGGATAGGAGTAGCGGTCCGGGCGTAGGAGGTAGAGGAGCACATCAAGGCGACGGTTGAGTGAGCCTGACTACTGAACCTACTCGACCATACTGGATGAGAGTGCGAGAGTTGTCTGAAGGGTTAGCAACGTCGAGAGATGGGGTGCATCGGAGGGAGTAGAGTGATGCTGACCGAGAGTAGGAGGAGAGATGAAGAGTGATTCAGTAGCCTGGTTAGCTTATGTTCTCTCACGAGAGTCCGAATCGTATAGTGTGAAGAAGCTTGTGGGACCCAGGGAGACGGCGGTTGGATACGACATACCACTTCCTGTGGCGTTAGAAGAGGCAGGGCGTGTACCGATACGATACTTGGGAACGTGGCTTGCAGAGGGGCTCTTCCTTTGGACAGTGATACTACGAGACGAACGACCCGAGAGGACTCATGATCTAGAAGGGGTCGGACATCTGATAGCGGATAGAGCACACAATTTAGAGATAGGACTAACGCTCGCAGGGGCGAGCAGGAGTTGGTGGAGAAGCGAGTTGTTGGCCAGAGTGATCGTTAATCAGCAATTGGCGAGACTCTCTGGAGGGAGGACGAGTTGGAGCTGCTTGATATACGGTCCACCACATCCGACCCTCTACCCGAGAAAGGATTGGCGATTCGGACTTTCTACCTCCGTGATAGGGCAGACCTATGGGAGCGTGGATCGTTTGAGTAGAGCAGTGGACCACACACTTTACGCGCTCTGGGAGGGCTTAGCGCCTCGGTTCAAGGAATTATACTACGCCATTTGTGTGAGGTGGGGGCCGCCCAGTAGAGAGACGCTTGACGACATCATAGACGTTACTAGCTGGGTGGACTGTCTGAGGCCAATCGATCTGATTAGGTACTGCAGGAGACGGATAGAGATCGATTACGCGGGGCTAGAGGATGAGAGATTTCTCTTCGAGGCCGCAGCTTAGGGAATGCCGGGAAGGACGGCCACGATGATGCGTGTAGAAGAGCAACTGGTGAGCACACGATACACTGTGACAGTACTTCTCTGAGCGTACGTAGACGAGGACTTGACAGCGAGTGAGTGCAGACAACGAGCTAGGGATGTGATCCACGAGCGTAGATCTTATGTACTGGCGCGAGTGACCTTCCAGACCTCAATTTCCTATGATGTGATGATATGGTCTCGTGGTTATATGCGCGCGGAGCACTACCACGATGAGACGGTAGCGGAGGCTAGAGCGAAGGTGAGAGGATGAGCTGGAAAAAGATGTGGACTGAGTATGGAAGAGGAGAGTGAGGCAGTCGGAAGAGTCAGAAAGCGCGTTAAAGAACCACTCTTGAACCAGGTAAAGAAGTTGGGGGACAAGTTAAGGGAGATCTGGTCGTGTCAAAACGAGGGCAAGTTGCGTAGAGCTGAACTCGTGACAAGAGAGTTAGAGAGTCTGTTTAGGGAGGAAAGAGAGATTACCCAGGCGTGGATATCAGATTTTTTGGAGAGGGTAAAGGCTAGAAGCGTATCACGCGAAGAAACCAGTGAGCGATTTGCAGAGAGCGAGACAACGGAAGACAAAGTAACGCAGGAAAGTAGCGACAGGACATGAGCAGGACAGCAGTACACACGACGGATCGGTACTCATTGGATGTGGTAGGGAGATTAGACGGACCATTAGTGTTAGTGATCATAGAACTCCAGCTCCATACCAGACTGTGCATAGTTGAGGAAGCAGAGTGTGTCCGCCGCGCGGTGCGTGAGCCTAGGGGAACAGGACTTTGGATTGGAATAGAAGGAGGATGGAGGATAAAATACGTACTCCAAGTGACACCTTTCGAAGGGCAGTCTCGGATAAGGGCATGGTAAGAGACGACCAGAGAGGCTGAGAGGTTGAAGATAAGCGAAGCCAGAAAAGCTGGAGAGTTAGGGAGAGTTGTAACAGATGGTGCCATACTCAGGGTGTTAGCCGCTCACAACCGGTACTGAAAGGAAACGATAAAGACTTTAGAGGCGATAGACGAAGGAGGAGATAATGAGGACTTTGAGACATTTTATGACATATTGGAGCGGTCGGCGATGAGGTTACAAGTCGTTATAGCACTAACTTACCTCAGCTGTTAGACAGATGACCTCGTAGCCATTGAGGAGATAAGGTAGTGGAAATAGAAATCGGAAACTCTTGGAAGGATAGAGGAAGCTAGAAAGGTCGATGGGCGACATTGGACGACAGTAGGAGGGCCTTTAGCGGGCTAACCGATTTAGACAGGGCTAGGAGAACTAGCAAGGAGGACGGAGAGAGACGCTCGGGGACTCTTGAGGTGTGTTGATCAGGAGACATTGGCTAGGTTTGGGACTGCGATCAGTCTCAAGGATAGAGGTCCTGTCACGGGCGTACTGCGGATCCGGACGGGCACGGCCTTGTTGGCCGATCCCGAAGGAGAGGTTATTTAGACACAGGGATTCTTAGGATAGAGGGAGAACACGAGATCTGCGGCCGGTACGGGTTACTGGAGGTGGTAATCAAGGCAATCGAGAGCTAAGTTTGGAGGCAGACGCGAGCCGTGACAAGGAAACAGGTCCGGGCTGCCGCAACTGTCACAGGTCCGGGCTGCAGCGACTGTCATAGGGTCGGGTTGTAACAGTTGGCAAGAAAACCTAACTGCGTCTTCAGGCGGTCCAATGGAACCCGACACGATGGGACCACAACCGACCATGGGCGAAGCGGGAGAGGAGTATAGGATATCGCCCGATTGAGCTCTGAGAGAACTGAAGGAACGAATTAGGCAAGAAGCACCGCTGAGATGGGCTGACCAAACCAATGACGGAGGGTCCGACGTAAGAGGCGAACCAGTTGCGACAGAGCCGCAGGAGGCTCTAAGGACGGGTACCGCGAGCGGACGACGAGAAACGACGAGACGACGCTCCCCCGAGTATGAGCGGAGGGACACCATAGCGGATAGGCATAGAGACGACTGGAGAGAGAGTTTAAGGGATTCCTATTGGAGGGACAGAGATAGAGACAGGGCGCCGCCCAGGCGAGTCTTCGACCCCCAGACAGGGGAGTCACATCCACTCCCTTACGAGAGCAAGGATCGCTATATTATTACGCATAGGGCCTCAGAGCCTCCTACCTTAAGGGGTTATGGTATCACAGAATATCTGGAGAAGTGGGAGCTTCACGCCAGCCGGAGTCAGTGGTCGGAGGAAGAGATTATAGAGAACTTCCTATTTAATGTGGACCCAAGTCTTGGTAGG